GCACCATATTGTTATACAAATTAATGTAAACATTTGGTCAATAATATCATGATGTAAAAACATAAGGTGTGTTCTTCCGCCGTGTTCAAATGTGTCGCTGTTTGCGCCTTCCACTCATCGGCCATATTGGAAGTACGATGACCTATTGTTTATTTCAAACACGCATATATATTACACTCCGAGTACCTAATTTTTGACATGTTTACGATTTTAAAATTCGCTCTGTTTTAATATGAAGCGTGATTGGTTAGAAATCCAAAATGGCCAACGAGTGGAAGTGTCCGTGTACAGATGGATGTTCAAATGGATGCGCAAGAACACACCTTATGTTTTTACATCATGCGTTCAATGTACACATTTATGTTATGTTCAGATTCTAAAAGTTTTATACTTCATGTTTGAAAAAGAAGTGAAAGAAGCGGAAAAGGAGAAAAACTATTGCGCAGCTATTCCACTACTCTCACTTCTTTTTAAACATAACAATGTGTACATTGGTGGGACGCACTTGAGTGCTGAGTGTCAAGTGCGAGAAGCGACTATAAATTCGAGCCCTAGTGTTAATTTAATAATCGTGTTTTCATATAATTGAATCGTATGCCGACTATTAAAAATTTGCATAACGACGGTTAGGATAGTCGATGGAATAATTGATTTGGGTAGAACGAAACGTTTTTAAAGGTAGTTTGGCGAGAGGTTTAGGAGGCATGCAGGCAATATATGCATCGCGATTCCGTATTGCTCGTTGGGGTGCATACGCAATGTATTATCAACGTCGAAACTCGGTTCTTATCACGGAGAGCGGCGCGACAGTGCGATCGTGCGAACGTGTTCGCAATCTCCACATCGGAGTTCTCCGTAACTGCGACACCATAAATAAACGCGGTAGGCGATCGGTGACGCTCGATATGAATCCAGTCACGCGATATAGAAACGCGTACAATGCGGAAAAGTGATATCTCGATCGGTCGACTTTCGGCTAAAAGCCGCCACTTACGGTGAAACGCGGCGTGAAACGCGACAAAAGCTCGCGAGGACGAGTACGTGGCGTGAATCGCCTCCTCCTGCTCCTCCCTCTCGCTCTTTCTATACCTTTCGAAAAAGAGAATACGTATTGTGAACGGATTGAAAGAAATCGGAGGGGAGTCTCGCGCACGATTCTGTCTGATTGGAGGGTCCGACTAATTGCTGGCTCCGCTCCGAGAGCTCCTAAAACCGATTCCCATCCTAGTTTCACTTTCTTTCACAGATAGTTTCCGATAAACAATATACACTTCATAC